ATAGGGTTACACCTTCAGTCTTGGTTCCTGCTCTGTTTTGTGGCGGTCTACCCGCTCATCTTCTATTCTCAGCTCCAGCTGTGAGGCTGAGATCTACGAAGGGGTCATGGCTGCATAGGAGTTATGCTGGCTCACCTACCTGCTGACCGACTTGGGAGAGGCGCCTCGTTCTCCTCCATTTCTGTACGTCGACAACAAGGCCATGATTGCCTTGTGTCAGGAGCACAGACTGGAGCACAGAACGAAGCACATCGCTCTACGCTACTTCCTTGCTCGAGAGTTGCAGCAGCGGGGTCAGCTTCGTCTTGCTTACGTGGCCACTCGGGCCAACACTGCTGATATCTTTACCAAGGCACTTCAGCCTTGTGTGTCAGAATGTGTAGTTTGTCTAGCCTGCAGTGGGGTACTCTATAGTGAGTACGGCCCCTTAGGGTTTCCTATATGTATCCACCTGCTTGCTAGTGCAACCCCTCCTTTTTCTCATTCCTGTTTCTGCCTGCTAGTTTCGACATGCTATCAGAGCAGGTTGACCCCCCCTGGTCGATCCTGTGGATGGGCCCACCTAAGTCTTCCGCTGCTGTCCTGCCTATCGCGTGCCTCGGGCGCGTGACCTTTCATGCATGCCGCGCGCGAGAGGCGCGTGGCGTGTTTTTTCTTTCCGCCGTGCTCTTAGGGCGCGCGGCGGTTTTCTGCCCGCCGTGTGCCCTAGGGCGCGCGACGGTTTTCTGCATGGCGCGCCCCCTGTCGGCCCTTGCGTCGCCTCAGAGGACCCGCGCGCGCCCCCCCGTCGGCTCTCGCGCTGCCCCGCTGGACCCGCGCGCCGCACCCCGTCGACCCTCGCGTTGCCTTAGGGGTCCCGCGCGCGCCCCCCCGTCGGCCCTCGCGTCACATGCAGTATCCGCGCGCTGCCTCCCATCGACCCTCGCGTCGCCCCCGGGGACCCGCGCGCTGTCCCGCTCGACCCGCGCGCCACCCCTGGAGCCGCGCGCGACCCCCTTGCTGCCCCGTCGCGGCGCCCTGGGGAGCTGCGTGCGGCCCCTCGCTGCCCCATGGTGACGCCCTAGGGGCCGCGCGCCGTCCCCCTCGCCGTCCCCGCGCTCCTACCCCGTGCCACCCGTTTTAGGGTTTGGGGGTGGGGAGTGTGGGGGTGGCGGTTATGGGGGTGCCGGTTGCGTGCACCGTCCCCTACTCCTCCTCCTCCGTCTCCCACTGCTGCAGCTGTCGCTGAGGGGGGTGGGTGTGTGGGAGCCAAAGGAGTGGTGCTAGGGGGGTGAAGTGGGAGTGGAGCTAGGGGTGCAGCAAGGAGTGTGTGAAAGGGGGGTGGGACAGTTGGGGGAGGTTGAGCGGAGGCTGCCGTCTTGTCGTCCGCAGTACCTGTAGTCCGGGGCGCTGTCCTGGTAGCCCAGAGAGCCTGCAGTGCCTGTCGCCCGTGGGTCCGTTTCTCTTGCCGCTCCTCGTAGCCGCCGAGCCAGTTACTCCAGTAGTCCGGGGCGCTGTCCCAGTAGCCACTGTGTGCGCGCTCCTGTTGCCCGTGTGTCTGCAGCTTCAGTGGTCGTCTCCAATCTTCTCTCCCCCCATAGTCTCTCCTTCTCCTTACTTGCCCTTTGTGATAGCCTCTAGCTTTGCTTATATTTGTGAACTATAAACTGCTGCTTGTTGTGCTAATCATACCCCACTTTGACTATGGGGGTGTGTCAGAATGTGTAGTTTGTCTAGCCTGCAGTGGGGTACTCTATAGTGAGTACGGCCCCTTAGGGTTTCCTATATGTATCCACCTGCTTGATATTGCAACCCCTCCTTTTTCTCATTCCTATTTCTGCCTGCTAGTTTCGACATTGTGATCATCAGCGTTTCTGTACTGTGTTAGGTCTTGTGCCTACCAGGCCTCCCTTGCTCACCTCTTGACTTTGCTTGCACTTGTGCCAATCTGGCCTCACTTGCTCACCTCTTGACATTGCTTGTACTGTGATCTATATATTCCTGCACCTGCATGCTTACACTTGTTAGGTTGAGATGTCTGTACTGCTTGTTCACCTTGATATATAACTATGCATGTGAACTGGCCTTGTGGCATTTTGCTCATGCTCAGAATGTGTGGTGACGTCGTGATCCACCTTGAGCTTGACCTTGCGTTGTTTTGTTGCTTGTCCCTCACTTTGCCTATAGGGGTGTGTCAGAATTATACTCTAGGCTGTAGTGGGGCACTCCTTATGGGGTACAGCCCTGTTAGGTTTTGCCTCTACAATCCTTGTACTGTTCTCTTTCTAATCATCATTCCTCGTTCTAACTTCCACAAGCGCGTGAGTGACCGACAGCAACATGTCTGACAGGCGAGTACACTCGATGTTTGTTACTCTCACGGAATGCGAATAAGTTGTTTTACTGTCATAATTGCGTAGGCGTGAAGTTACTGTCATAATGTTATTACCTAGCCTGTAGTGGGGTGCTCTATAGCGGGTACAACCCAGCTAGGGTTTGCTATATGTATCCCAACTGCTGCTAGTGAACCACTCTCTTTTGCCAAACTTTCTCTTGCCTAGCTAGGGCTTACCTAGCTATGGCTCCTCGTTCTGCTCCTTATTTCAACATGCTATCAGAGCGATCACGCTCCTGGCCTGTGGGCCCACCTGCTTCCGCTGCCCTACTCTGTGTCGCGCGCCCCGGAGCGCGCGACCTTCGATTTTTCATCCCGCCGCGCGCCCGCCGTGCGCCCCGAGGCGCGCGGCGGTTTCCTGCCGTAGGGGAGCCCGCGCGCGCCCCGCCCGTCCATCGCGGCGCCCTGGGGAGCACGCGCGGCCCCCACCCTGCTTGTCGCGGCGCCCTGGTGAGCCCGCGCGCGCCCTGCCTGTTCGTCGCAGCGCCCTGGGGAGCCCGCGCGCGCCCCGCCCGTCCATTGCGGCGCCTTGGGGAGCACGCGCGCCCCCCACCCTGCTCGTCGCGGTGCCCTGGGGAGCACGCGCGGCCCCCGCCCTGCTCGTCGCGGCACCCTGGGGAGCCCGCGCGCGCCCCGCCTGTTCGTCGCGGCGCCTTGGGGAGCCACGCGTGCGCCCCCCGCTCGTCCGTCGCGGCGCTCTGGGGAGCCGCGCGCGCCACCCTCCCCTCCCCCCCCCCCCCCCCCCCCCCCCCCCCCCCCCCCCCGCCCCGCCCGTCCGTTTTTGCGCCCTGGGGGTCGCGCGCCGTCCCCCCTCGCCGTCCCTCGTGCTCCTGCCCCTATCCCACCCGTTTTAGGGTTTGGGGGTGGGGAGTGTGGGGGTGGCGGTTGTGGGGGTGTCGGTTGTGCGTTACTCCCATTGCTCCTCCTCCTCCCTAGTCTCCCACTACTGCAGCTGCCGCTGAGGGGGGTGGGTGTGTAGGAGCCTAGGGTTTAGGGTTTAAGGGGGGTGCCATGGGAGTGGAGCTAAGGTTCAGCAGGGGGTGTGTGAGGGGCGTGGGGCAGCTGGGGGAGGTTGTGTGAAGGTAGCTGTAGTGTCGCCTGCAACGCCTGTAGTCCGTCGCCCTTGCTTCGGTAGCCAGTGAGTCTGTTGCACCAGTCGCCAGTGGGTCCGTTGCTCCTGCCGCTCGTCTATAGCCGCGGAGCCAGTCACTCCAGTAGTCCATCGCCCTTGCTTCGGTAGCCACTGAGTCAGTCGCTCATGTGCCCGTGCCTCTGCAGCTTCAGTCGTTGTCTCCCATCTTCTCTCCCTCCACAGTTCCTCCTCCTCCTCACTTGCCCGCTGTGATTAACTCTAGCTTCGCTTACTATTGTGAACTCCTGCTCTATGCCTGCTTGCTCATTGTGCTGATAACACCCCACTTTGGCTATGGGGGTGTGTCAGAATGTTATTATCTAGCCTGTAGTGGGGTGCTCTATGTCGGAACATTATATAGCTTATACATTTGTGTAGGCTGTAGTGGGGTATCCCATAGGGGGTACAACCCAATTAGGGTTAGTACTTGTACCCACTTCTTTTATAGTTCATTCATTCTCATTTCAGTTTTCTCATGGTATCGAGCAAGTTCCCTCGTGGGAAATGTTCCTAGGGCCCACCAAGTCGAAACTTTTTTTTCCTGCCCGGAGCGCGCTCAACCCTAGCCCGAGTCGCGCTCCCCTTCCTCCACCTAGTCGCGCCGCCCTAGCGGCCCCGATGCCTACCTCGCGGCCCTCACGCCACCTTGCGGCCTCGTCGCCCGCCCTACGGCCCGCGCGCCACCCTTCCTAGCCCGCGCGCCGCCCTTTCTGGCCCGCGCGCCGCCCTTCCTGGCCCGCGCGCCGCCCTTCCTGGCCCCGACCCGCTGCCCTGCGGCCTCGCCGCCTACCCCGCGGCCCGCGCGCCGCCCTCTCCCTGCCCCGATCCGCCGCCCTGCGGCCTCGGCGCCTACTCTGCGGCCCAGCCGCCTACCTGCGGTCCCGTCGCCCTTACGTGCGGCCCCGCCTACTGCCTGCGGCCCCGCCCTTACCTGCGGCCCCGCTACCTACCGGCGGCCCCGCCCTTACCTGCGGCCCCGCCGCCCTCAACTGCGGCCCCGTCGCCCTTAGCTGCGGCCCCGTCGCCTGCCTGCGGCCCCGCCATTACCTGCGGCCCCGCCACCTACCGGCGGCCCCGCCCTTACCTGCGGCCCCGCCGCCCTCAACTGCGGCCCCGTCGCCCTTACCTGCGGCCCCGCCGCCCTCACCTACGGCCCCGCCGCCCTTACCTGCGGCCCCGCCGCCGTCACTTGCGGCCCCACCGCCCTTACTTGCGGCCCCGTCGCCTGCTGCAGCGCCGCTCGCCACCCGAGCCGCCTCACCCAGCCGAGCAGCCGACCGCCGCGCCGCCCTGCAGCAGCACCGCCGAGCCGCCCAGCAGCCGAGCAGCCGGGCAGCCGAGCCGCCCAGCAGCCGTGCCGCCGTGCAGCCGAGCCGCCGTGCCGCCGAGCCGCCCTGCAGCCGAGCCGCCCGAGCAGCCCCGTCCGGTAAGCACAGCGCCTCTGTCACTGCACTACCCTTACCCTACTGTTTGCGCTGCTAGTCTACTGTTGTCATGGCTACCCCTAGTGTCCTCGCTTTTTACGCTGAGGGTCGGGCCATTGACTTTAACGTCTGGATAGATGACCTACAGCTGTTCTTACAGTGCGATAGGGCAGACGGTCTCTCCCTCTTTGACCTCACCTCTGGCGCCTCTCCTGCCCCTGCTGCTGATGCTGACGCCACTCTTCGCTCCCAGTGGGCCACGCGCGACGCTGCTGCACGTCTTGCTGTGCGTTGCCACCTCCCTACCTCCGAGCGTGCGCACTTTAGTCAGTACAAGAGTGCTCAGACCTTGTACGACGCTGTAGTTGCACGCTACTCCTCCCCTGCCACTGCTGCACTGAGCCGTCTAATGCTACCGTACCTCTTCCCTGACCTTGCTGCCTTTCCCACAGTCGCTGACCTCATGACGCACCTCCGCACTAGTGACACTCGCTACCGCGCTGCGCTTCCTGCTCAGTTCTGCGCCAAGAACCCCCCCCCCATGTATATCACCCTCTACTACATAGTCACCCGGCTCCCTGACTCCCTTCGCGTAGTCAGGGACCACTTCCTCGCAGTGTGCCCCACCACTCTCACCGTTGACCTCCTCGAGAAGGCCCTCCTAGCGGCGGAGAAGAGCATAGTCGCTGTAGGAGCCTCTGGGGGTGACCCCCGCACCCCTGTCTTTGAGGGGTGTTCTCCCTCCCCCCTCTTGCCCTCTGTTGCTTCTGCTGCTGCGGCCGACCTCGTTGGTTTTGAGTCGGTCGGTGATGCGTCTGCCCCTTCGGGGAAGCGCCGCACAGGCAAGGGCAAGGGGGGCAAGGGCGCTGGAGGAGCTGGCAGGGGCGGTGGAGGCGGCGGTGGAGGCAGCGGAGGGAGTGGGGGTGGTGGCGGGAGTGGTGGAGGGGGTGGGGGTACCGGTGGCAGCAGTGGAGGCGGAGGCGGCGGCGGTGGCGGAGGGAGCGGAGGCGGCGGTGGTGGCGGAGGCGGCGGCGCTGGCGGAGGCGGCGGAGGCGGCGGAGGTGGCGGTGGAGCTAGTCGCGGGTCTACGCGGAGGAGTGGCTCTGGTGGTGGTCAGCGCCAGCAGCAGCAGCGCGGTCGTGAGACCCTGTCCCCTCAACAGCTCCGTGAGTGGTACACTGCGCGCCAGCGGGGTGGGGGTGCTGGTCCGTGCACCTACGTTCTACGTACGGGCGACCGCGCGGGTGAGCAGTGTGGGGGTGCGCACCCCACCCAGCGCTGCTTTGGCCGCCTGACGGACGCGTGGCGTCACCACTATCTTGTAGGTCAGCACCACTCACCAAGTTTGTAGAGAACGAGGGGAGGTAAAGACCTGACAGGGTGCCAGAAGGGGTCGCCGGACACGGTAGGACAGTGGAGTAGTGGGCAAGGACAGGACCCCCAGAGGGGTCTGCCAGAGTGACCGCCACTGGCCGACTAAGTGGCGTGAGCGTGGTGCGGTCTCGAAAGAAGGAGCGGGAAGCACCCGAGTCAAGGGTGAAGGTGTGACAGGCCTGAGCCGACGTGGTACCTGAGAGAGCAGACGCACCAGCACCTGGGGCAGCAGACGCACTGGCACCTAGAGCAGCAGCCTCACCAGCACCTGGAGCAGCAGCCTCAATGCCCGGGTCAGGCGGGACACACAAGTAAAAGTCACCCTCATCACTATAGACACAGCATACATGACAGCAAGAATAGCATCAAACTCTAGATCAAAGATTGCAACCCCCGACCTAAAGAGCTCGCCCCAGCGAGGGATCTCAGTGGCGCCAGGGAACTGGAGACGCCAAGCGTCCGTCAGGCGGCCGAAGCAGCGCTGGGTGGGGTGCGTGCCTCCGCACGTCTCACCAGTGAGGTCGCCGGTACGCAGGACGTAGGTACAAGGACCAGCACCCCCACTCGGCTGACGCGCAGCGTACCGCTCACGAAGCTGCTGGGGGGACGGGGTCTCACGAGCGCACTGCTGCTGCTGGCGCGGACCACCACCGGAGCCACCTCTCTGCACAGGGCCACCCCGACCAGCGCCACCACCGCCGCCGCCACCTCCACTACCGCCGCCACCGCCGCCTCCTACGCTCCCACCGCCACCGCCGCCGCCTCCTCCGCCTCCAGTGCCGCCACCGACACCCCCACTCCCGCCACCACCCCCACCACCACCCCCACCCCCTCCGCCGCCTCCACCGCCACCTCCACCGCCCCCGCCAGCTCCTCCTGCGCCCTTGCCCCCCTTGCCCTTGCCAGTGCGGCGTCTCCCGCTAGGGGCAGACGCCGCGCCGACCAACTCACGACCAACTAGGTCGGCCGCAGCAGCAGAGGCAACAGAGGGCAAGAGGGGGGAGGGGGAACACCCCTCAAAGAGGGGGGTACGAGGGTCACCACGAGAGGCTCCTACAGCGACTATACTCTTCTCTGCTGCCAGGAGGCGCTCCTTGAGGAGGTCAACGGTGAGAGTGGTGGGGCAAACAGAGAGGAAGTGGTCCTTGACCGAGCGAAGGGAGTCAGGGAGCCGGGTGACTATGTAGTAGAGGGTGATGTACATAGGGGGGGGTTCTTGGCGCAGAACTCAGCAGGAAGTGCAGCGCGATAACGTGTGTCACTAGTGCGAAGGTGCGTAGTGAGGTCAGCGACTGTGGAAAAAGCGGCGAGGTCAGGGAACAGGTACGGCAGCATGAGGCGGCTAAGGGCACCAGTGGCAGGGGAAGAGTAGCGTGCAACTACAGCGTCGTACAAGGTCTTAGCACTCTTGTACTGACTAAAGTGCGCACGCTCAGCGGTCGGTAAGTGACGGTGCACAACAAGACGGGCAGCAGCATCGCGTGTGGCTCACTGTGAGCGAACAGTGCTGTCAGCATCAGCAGGCGGGGCAGGGGAGGCACCAGACGTGAGATCGAACAGGGAGAGACCGTCTGCCCTATCGCACTGTAGGAAAAGCTGCAGGTCATCGACCCAGACCTCAAAGTGAACAGCTCGACCCTCAGCATCAAAGGTAAGGACACTGGGGGTAGCCATGACAGCAGCAGCCTAGCGGTGAGAGCAGCAGGCTAGAGGTGGCGCAGTAGCAGAGGTGTTGCGCGAAAGTGCTCTTACCAGACCGTTGGGTAAGGCTGCAGCGGCAGTTGTGGCCGCGGCTCGACGGCGGCGGCGACTCGAGGGCGGCAGCGGCTCGGGGGCTCGGTGGCGGCTCGGCGGCACGGCGGCGGCTCGGCGGCTCGGCTTCGCGGTGGCTCAGCAGCTCGGCGGCGGCGGCTCGGCGGTGGCAGCGGGTGCTGCGGCTCGGCGGCTCGGTGGCTCGGCAGCTCGGCGGATCGGCGTGTCAGAGGTCCACTGGTGATCCCCGATTGATCCTATGGAAGGGTTACAGGCATGTTAGCCCGGGGGGTTATGGGCGCACTGACCCGCTACTTAACAAGCCCTTTTATCCCATTGGTCTAGTGGTTGGGATTCTGACATGGTATTCAGAGCAGGTATCGTCCTCTTGCTGCCTTCCTTCCGCTGCCTATCGTCCTTCCGCGCGCCTCTGGCGCACGGCGATTTTCTGCCCGCCGTGTGCTCGGGGCGCACGGCGGGCAGCGCGCGGCGTCTCCCTGCCCCGCACGCGGCCTGCCCTCATGCCGCCTGCGCGCCTGCCTCATGTCCACGCGCGGACCTGCTTTACCCGCCCGTACCCTCCACTTCGCGGCGCCCTGCGTGGCGCCGCTCCTGCTCATCGTGACGCACCTGCGGGACCCGAGCGTCGCCGCTCCTGCTCGTCGCGACGCCCCTGCAGGACCCGCACGGCGTCGCCTTGCTCGTCGCGACGCCACTGCGGGACCCGCGGGGCGACGCCACTGCTCGTCGCGGCGCCCCCTGGACGCCGCCCGGGCTCGTCGCGGCGCCCCTGGGGCGTCACCCCTGCTCGTAGCAGCACCCCTTGGGCGCCGTCCCTGCTCGTCGCGGCGCCCTCCCCCCTGGCCGCCGCCTCTTCCTCACCTGCGCCCGCGCCAAAAGCAGCCGCGTGCGAGCCTACCTTGCATCAGCGCCACCCATGGACCTCAGCAGCCGCCCCTGGACCCCGCGAGCCGCCCCAGCAGCAGCCCACGACGCCGACCCTACAGCTGTATGCGCCGCCGCTCCTGGACTCGGTATGCATGTTGCTGCCTGTTGCTGCCTGTGCTGCCTGTTGCCGCCCGTTGCTGCCCGTGCCTGTGCTGCCTGTTGCTGCCCGTGCCTGTGCTGCCTGTTGCCGCCCGTTGCTGCCTGTGCCTGTGCTGCCCGTTGCCGCCCGTTGCTGCCCGTGCCTGTGCTGCCTGTTGCTGCCTGTTGCTGCCCGTGCCTGTGCTGCCCGTTGCCGCCCGTTGCTGCCCGTGCCTGTGCTGCCTGTTGCTGCCTGTGCCTGTGCTGCCTGTTGCTGCCTGTTGCTGCCTGTGTCTGTGCTGCCCGTTGCTGCCTGTTGCTGCCTGTGCTGCCTGTTGCCGCCCGTTGCTGCCTGTGCCTGTGCTGCCCGTGCCAGTGCTGCCTGTTGCCGCCCGTTGCTGCCCGTGCGTGTGCTGCCTGTTGCTGCCCGTGCCTGTGCTGCCTGTTGCCGCCCGTTGCTGCCTGTGCCTGTGCTGCCTCTTGCCGCCCGTTTCTGCCTGTGCCTGTGCTGCCTCTTGCCGCCCGTTGCTGCCCGTGCCTGTGCTGCCTGTTGCTGCCTGTTGCTGCCCGTGCCTGTGCTGCCCGTTGCCGCCCGTTGCTGCCCGTGCCTGTACTGCCTGTTGCTGCCTGTGCCTGTGCTGCCCGTTGCTGCCTGTTGCTGCCCGTGCCTGTGCTGCCCGTTGCCGCCCGTTGCTGCCCGTGCCTGTGCTGCCCGTTGCTGCCTGTTGCTGCCCGTGCCTGTGCTGCTCGTTGCCGCCCGTTGCTGCCCGTGCCTGTGCTGCCCGTTGCCGCCCGTTGCTGCCCGTGCCTGTGCTGCCCGTCGTGCGCCCTGCTGCTGCCCGCGCCCTTGTGCGCTCTGCTCTGCTCCGTGCTGTTGCCCTGCATGCACGGCTGCCCTGCCCTGCTCCGCGCTGTTGCCCTGCACGCGCGGCTGCCCTGCCCATGCCTATGTTGCCCCTGCTCTTCCCCCCCCCCCCCTTCTTTGTCTCCCTGCTGCGCGTGCAGCCGTGGAACGGAGGCTATGGGGGTGGCGGGTATGGGGGTGATGGGTGTGTGTGATCCCCTTCCCCTCCTCCTCCTTTCTCTCCCACTGCTGCAGCTGCCGCTGGGGGGGGGTGGGTGTGAGGGTGTGGGGGAGCTGGGGGAGAGGTGCTAGGGTTGTCGAGGAGTGTGGAAGGGGGAGTTGGAGGACTGAGGAAGGTTCCAGGAAGCAGCCGCCTTGGAGCCAGCAGCTTCACCTGCCAGCAGCTTCTCCTCATACAGTCCCTCCTCCTCACTTGCCCTCTCCTTCTCCTGCGCTTGGTGTACCCCTTCAGGGGGTGTCTCTGCATTAGCTTCTACTGCAGGCAGTTATGGGGGAGTGTGAGAATATATCTGTAACTGCCTGTAGCTGTAGTTAGTGTAGTTGTTATAAACTTTGTTTGGTGGTGCACCTTCTTTGTTCCTTTGCTATATGTTGTTGCAAACCTATAGTGAAGCCCCTCTTTCTCCTTTCCAACTTTCTCGACACTCTCCTCAACCCTAAACTCGATCTCTAAGAACCTAACTAAACTATGGCTCCTAAGCCCACCTATGCTTAGTGATTTCAACATGGTATCAGAGCGAAGGTCTCGGGTTCGAATCCCGGTGTATGCACTTCGGACATCCCAGTGCGGGGGGGGTGTCAGAGGTCCACTGGTGATCCCCAATTGATCCTAAGGAAGGGTTACAGGCATGTTAGCCCGGGGGGTTATGGGCGCACTGACTCGCTACTTAACAAGCCCTTTTATCCCAATGGTCTAGTGGTTGGGATTCTGACACGGCGGCGGCTGCAAGAGAGCGGCAGGATGGCCGCGAGAGGGCGGCGACGGGGCCGCGAGAGGGCGGCGACGGGGCTGCGAGAGGGCGGCGACGGGGCCGCGCGAGGGCGGCGACGGGGCCGCGAGAGGGCGGCGACGGGGCCGCGAGAGGGCGGCGACGGGGCCGCAAGGGCGGCAACGGGGCCACAAGGGTGGCGACGGGGCCGCAAGGGCGGCGACGGGGCCGCAAGGGCGGCGACGGGGCCGCTGTGGGCGGCGACGGGGCCGTTGAGGGCGGCGACGGGGCCGTTGTGGACGGCGACGGGGCCGTGAGAGGGGCGGCGACGGGGCCGCTGAGGGCGGCGACGTGGCCGCTGCGGGCGGCGACGGGGCCGCTGTGGACGGCGACGGGGCCGTGAGAGGCGGCGACGGGGCCGCTGCGGGCAGCGACGGGGCCGGTGAGGGCAGCGACGGGGCCGCTGCGGGCGGCTACGGGGCCACTGAGGGTGGCGACGGGGCCGCTAAGGACGGCGACGGGGCCGCAATGGGCGGCGACGGGGCCGCCAAGGGCGGCGAAGGGGCCGGTAAGGGGACGCGACTCGACGGGACGACGGCCCACGGGGCGCGCCTCGGGCAAGGGCGACTCGCACTCCGGGCAGAAAAAAAAAATACCGAATTTCAGTGGTGGGCCCTAGGAAGCGTTCCCACTAGGGAACCTGCTCTGATATCATGTGAAAATGAACGAGAATGAATGACTAAGGAATGAGTGTGATACAAATATGAAACCCTAGAATTTTGTACCCCTTAGTATCTAACCCGATACAGCCTACACAGGCTAGACCATATAAGTCCGACATCAGTGTGATGCGACGCGATGCTGATAAATGGTGGCCTGATGAAGGGCCGCAGGAACACGCCCTAACTCTTTCCAACGACGGCTCAAATGGCAAATGTGGGGGGAGAAAGAGTATGTTGCCTTTTCTGCCCTTGAAATAACGCACTAATTTCACCGCCCGTGTTGCGCATTTCTGATCCACACCACCTATTTGTAGTGGTTACAAATACTAGCAACATCGCGATAGGGTCGATACTGTTGCAGGACTTTCGCAAATGATCACATATAAGTCGTGAAAGATACATCCGTCAGAGAGAGTTTACTAGATACACGATCACGAAATACTCGCGATAATTCGCGCGGTCAAAGTATGGCATTGTTTCCTAACCAACACATACTTTATAGTACGAGCAGTGCAGTATGGAATATTTGGAGTCCAATTTTCACTGTATGACCACATATAAAGACGAAGCCTCATCTTTTGTCGTGTGTCGTCCCCCCTGACTGCCCATACTTAATCTGACTGACTCGCTCAAACCAGCCCACTGCTCACAGGCCTATGTAACCATGGATATCGGACAAGCCACATCTTAACTGGAGGAAACTCGCAACAGTTTCACAGAGGCACGGCGAGTGTATCATGTAAAAGCTGGCACCAACCACATCTAGGAACTGAGCTACTCCTTACTACTAAGACTACTCTTACAATACTTCAAGCCAAAAGTTACACCGGAACATGTCGAGGTAGAAAAAACAAGGTAGCAGCTACATAGTTGTTATTACTGGTCGGAGATGTCGCTGATATACAGACGCATGTGACCTCGTGCCCCACATGGCAACACATGAAATCGTAGCCCGAAGGACAGCTGCAACCGATACCACCCCCAGTGCATGCCTGGCAGAAGGTGACGATGGACCCCGTGGCGGGTTTGCCTATCGGCGCAAGTGGTAACAGTTCGATATTCGTGGCTCATTTTACTTTATGCAAGAGAACCATCTTTGCTGAAGAAATAAATAAATTATTCATCTCCGTCGTCGTTCGCCTCTACGAGATACCAGCAAAGATTATCACCTACCGCTATACAATTTCATGAGTAGCTTCTGGATAAGTTTGGGGCTGCAGTTTGGCCCACGAATATAGTTCAGTTCGTAATTCCACCCAAAAACTGGCCGACAAACCGAACTTACCAACGAGACGATCCAGCGGCTTCGAAACAACAGCTGCCACTCATCAAATTTGCATGCAAAAACTCGCCACCTGCACCACCCACCAATCACCATTCTTGCTCAACTACGAACAAGACTCCACAAAGAAGACAACTCAAAAAACCGACGGCCTAGTACCACGTGCATAGCGATATGCCGAAGTTCTATGTGCTGCCCAGGCTCGTGCAGTAGAATCCAAAAACAAACAGAATCGCAAAGCGCAATGTCGACTGCCATCGCCGCCCTGTCACATACAAATCTGGAGATTTTGTCATCCTCGACACTCATAACATACGCATACCGAAAAGTTTTGTGCAAGATACTGGATGTTATTTCAAATGAGCCACATGGTAGCTGCGGTTACGGCACACTCCTCCTCCCTGTTAATTGGTTCGTCGAACCTTCATTTGAGGTCAACATGATGTGTCTCTATGTCCCAACTACGAGCCAACTACCGTGCAGTCGCCCATCGCGTATGACAAGAACGCCAGCACAACCAGTCATCTATTGGAAAAAAATCGAGTTCGTGATTGATGTGGAGCTCAAAACTGTCACATGCTGGAATGCCAGTATACTAACAAAGACAGTAGGGTGCCATTGGAAATAGATGAAAACCACCCCGTCCTTTACGCCTACCTCCGCAACCATTATCATTGAGATGTAAAAACACTTTCGTAAGGGGGGTCTCATTTGAGAGGGGGGGGCGTGAGGGATCATTTTTTCCTGTTCTCTGCACCACCCGTCATACTGCATTAGAACACTATACACGCCACCCACTCCCATTTCCATCATGTTTCAGCCTCACCATATTCTCCCTCGCCACTGTTCACGCCCTCACAACCATCGCGCCCAAACCGCACGCTTAGGTTGGTAAGTCGTGACATATGGCCCTACACCTCTGACATTTTCCATCCTTGGCGCTAGGCCCATAGAGCACCCCATTTTTTTGCTTGTTGCCGTTACCAACTGTTTCGCTGTAAAAATAACATCGAGATGTCAAGCTAAAATGAAAGACATCAAAATGGTGCATCCGCAGATTGCAGTAGCTTAAGTTATGTTACTTTGTAGCCAATAGGTTGTGAAAACTGAAACGAGAATGAATGAACTATGAAACAGTTGGGTACAAGTACTAACCCTAATTGGGTTGTACCCCTTATGGGCTACTCCACTACAGCCAACACAAAAGTATAAGCTATAATGTTCTGACACACCCCCATAGGCAAAGTGGGGGAGAACAAGGGGTCACAAGACCAGTCAAGGAAAGCAAAGCAAAGCAAGCTCAGGGTGGATCACAAAGTCACCACACATTCCGAGCACAAGTTCAAGGTCACAAGGCCAGTTCACATGCAAGAGTACATATATATTAAATGCTAGACAAGCAAGAGCAAGAGGATATATATATGTAACAGTACAAGCAAGGTCAAGAGGTAAGCAAGTGAGGTAAGGCAGGCACAAGACCCAGCTGAGTACAAAAGTGCTGATGATCACAAGGCGCAAGTGCCTTGGTGAAGATATCAGCAGTGTTGGCCTCAGAGGCCACGTACGCAAGACGCAATTGACCACGCTGCTGTAGCTCACGAGCAAGGAAGTAGCGGAGAGCAATGTGCTTTGTTCTGTGCTCCAGTCTCTTCTCTTGACACAAGGCCAACATGGCCTTGTTGTCTACGTACAGTACTGGAGGAGAACGAGGCGGCTCTCCGAGGTCAGTCAGCAGGTAGGTGAGCCAGCGAAGCTCCTGTGCAGCCATGGCTCCTGCGTAGATCTCAGCCTCACAACTGGAGCCGAGAACAGAAGACGAGCGGGTAGCCCGCCACGAAACAGAGCCGGAACAAAGGCTGAAGGTGTAACCCTGTGACGACCGCTGCGTAGCCTGTTCGTCAGCCCAAGAAGCGTCTGCGTGCCCAGTGAGGACCACTGGACTCCGCCCTCCAAGCACAAGCCCCATGCCCGACGTACTTCACAAGTAGCGCAACACCCTCTTCGCTGCAGCCATGTGCTCCGGTCTGTGTCTTCCAGGAGCAACATAGCGTGCGAGAATGCTAAGAGGGTATGCAAGGTCAGGTCGT